TTTGCCCGTGATGCAAAATGAAATTTTGCGATTATCTGAAAATCATCTCCAGGTATAATTATTCTGAACCTAAAAGGATAAAATTAAAGTGATTAAAGAGTAAAATGATAAGAAACGCATCCTGATAAAAAATCGCTGAAATTTTTTCTTTTTCTATACTTTTCTTTATAATAATGAAAAAAATATAATTTTCAAGATACTGCGTATTTTTTGAAATGCAAATAAATTACATAACAAAAATTATTAAGATCTATGCATGAAATTTTTCTTTTATTTTTAAATTTTACTTTTCTTTTCACCAATTTGTTTTGTTTTTAATTTAAATGTTGAATAAGTTGAACAGAGCTCAAAAGCTCTGTCGAACCACAAAATATCAAACTGCTATTGAAATGTTAAAGTGCATTAATATGACATAATTATCCACAAAGAAAATCATAGAAAGATTGGAAAAAGGAAGAAAATTAATTGATGTTTGTTCAAAAATATTTTTCTATCCAATCGCTTTAATTTTATCAATTTTAAATTCAGTGTCTAATTTTACACGAAAATGCATAATTTTCAAACAATCACAAAATTTTATCTTACCTCCGCAGCAACGAATAAAAAACGCAAATAACTTGATTTGAACGGAACATACTTTCATGCTATATTTCGTCTCTACTTTCATGGATCAATTTTTTCGTGAAAAAAAAATAATTCTTTTTATTACATGGTGTAGTACATATTTAATAAATTTAATAATTTTTTTCTATTTATAACCTTTTTCCTATTTATAATTTTTTCTATATAAATTTCAATGTACAAAACAACAATATTTAAAAAAACTCTATATAGTGATATTTCAATGAAAAAAAATGTCTATCTAAATAATAAATAATTGAATACTTAAGAAAATCACGTTAAAAAATCATACTACATAATTATTCTGTAATAAATCTATTAATAATTTTATTTTTTCTTTTCGAGCAATTCAAGTTCATGATATGTATTCAATTTAATCAATTCATATATACAATCCACTGCAATAAAGAAACTATAAAATAGAGTAAACTTAAAATTAATATTTCATGAGATATTTTACATTTCATGTCAATATGTGCCAAAATATAAAATTCCTCATCAATTATTAATCCTTTAATGTTTTTTAATGCTTTTGATACTTTTTTAACACTAAAAATTTTTTTGCTATATAAATTAGGAACAACATTAAAAGTAACAGCGTTATATATAAGAAAACCAAGAAAAAATTATTTAAATACATAAAAAAAATCATATCATTTAAAAAAGTCAAATTGTTCTTAAAAACCCAATCATATTTTTATTCACAATGAAAATATTGTGTCTAAATTACATACGCTTGAGATCATAAAACAATTGTAAATTTATTTTCTTTTTAATATTTAAAATAATTATATTTTTTTTGAGGTATTTAAATTATATGATATACATATGTAAACATATACACATACACACACATGCATGCGCCTATGTATGCATATGCATGTATACATATTCATTCATATACACATGTATACACATTCACTCATATACGCATATATACATATGCCTATGCATGCGCATACATCATATATATAACATACACCCACACATATACGCGCACATACATATGCACGTACACACGCACATACGCACTCACTCATCCACCCACCCACTCGTCCATATCATCTCACACCACACCACACCACATCACACCACACATATTACATTATACCATACATATTATACTATATCATTCCATACCATACTACATTGACACCGTACCGTACCGTACCGTACCGTACCGTACCGTACCGTACCGTACCGTACCGTACCGTACCGTACCGTACCGTACCGTACCGTACCGTACCATACCATACCATACCATACTATACCACATCATACCATATCATACCATACTATACTATACCCTACCATATCAATACAATACAATATCATACCATATCATATCATATCATATCATACTATATCATATCATATCATATCATATCATATCATACCATACTATACCATACCATACCATACCATATCACATCACATCACATCACATCATACCACACCATACCACATATCACATCACATCACACCACACCACACATCATATCACATCATACCACCCATACATACGAATGTAACACGTATCACATGTTTGGAAACATACTCCTTTGTTTTGTTAAATCTTCCACTTCCCTTTCTCTTCCTTACTCCTCTCTCTCACTCTCTCTCTCTCTCTCATGCGCGCATGGTCATGCACACATGTGTATGAATGTGTGTAAAGTGTATATATTTTTTCTCTTTGAATTGTGTTATTATATTTCTTAAAATTATTATTAAAGGTTTAAAAAATTATGTAAGCGTACTAACTTATCATAAAATAATAAAATGTCTGTGTCTAATCTACTAAAAAATAAAGAAATAAATATAGAACAAGCCACATAGGGATATACTATACACTCATTCGAAATGTTCAGCATAAAAAATATGTGCCTGAATATGTGTGTGTATATGTGTGAATTCATATATATTATATTATTATAACTCCAAATATTATTATAACTCCCAATTATAATTTACATTAAAATATTTCAAGAAAAGAGTCAAAAATATAAATTATGTAAAAGTTAGAAATTTGAAACTTACTTATTAATCTCTAAACATTTCGAAAGAGCACCATTTTGGTAGCAATAACAATTTTGTAACATTTCTAAAAATTTTAAAAATAAAATAAAAATATTCTAATCATCTATGTGTATGTGATAGCGCGTTAATAATTAGAACAAGAAAGAAAAAAATAAGTTTATACATTGTAAGAAAATGTACCTACATATTAATAATATAATATAAAAAGATGTAAGAAAAAATAATAACATACCTCTCGAACAGCTTGCTGCGCAGCTTCTCTATTAGTAAACGTGATAAACGCGTATCCTCTGTTGGAACCTGACATGGGGTCCATCATCAGTCTCAAGTCCCAAATTTTTCCACATTTTTCAAATAATGGTATTAATTCGTCTTCGTACATGTCTTTAGGGATTTTGCCACAAAATACCTTTTTATAAAAACGTTTTAATATAATAAGTTCAACAAATATAAAATAAATAATTTATATAAAAATATATAAATATATTCTATATAAGTATATAAATATATTCTATTGAAACTAATATAGATGTGTATATATGTAACTATTTTTTTGCATGCGCAGTATGTACATATTAAGTTTGTTAATAATAAAATACAAATTATATGTATGACACATGATATTTTTTTTTAAATTTATATCAAAAGGCTATTTAAGCGCGCGCGCGCGCGCGCACGCACGCACGCACGCACGCGCATCCCCCTCCCACACACACCATACACATACATGTACGTATATATATAAATAAATTTTATAAATAAGCAAGTTTACCTCACAACCAGTGCCAGGAGTTGGACCTTCCCAATTTGGTGGCGGACCACCATATTTTCTTTGTCCAGTAGTTACATCTAAAGGATATCCCGTTCTTTCTAAAATCAACTAAAATATAATAATTATTTATTATCAAAAAGCATTTACATATTTAAGAAAATTATTAAAATAAAATCTTTCAGAAACACATACACACGCGCGCATATATTAAAAACATAAATTAATATATACGAACTGCATGTAATATGTATCTGCAAACATATTTTGAGCCCTACTATCAATGTTTGATGGCAGAAAGGCAACAAATTTCATATCTATAATATCTATAATATCTATAAAATCTATAATATCTATAAAATTTATAATATCTAATATCACCATCAGAAATAAAATTTATTGGTATAAAACATATTGGTTAATATGTTGGTATAACATGTTAACAAATTGTCACCAGATCCTCAGCTTTATATAAACACAGATTACTATGGATTTATAGGAATCTAACCAAATTTGTTATCAATTTGCCAGCAATTTGCAAAAAGATTTTGCTAAATTAGATAACTTTAAATTACTTTGATTTTATCCTCATCTGGAGCTTTTGGTGTCGTGCTTGTGCCTGTACCTTGACCAGCACGACTCTTCTGTCTGTACGTCTTCATTACTCCACAAAGATATGCTGATTTATTAGATACATGTTCCAGATTAGATTCTAGAAATTGTGTAAGAACATTTAATGCACCATCAACTGGGAATTCCTTCAAGGCATCAAGAGCTCTTTCATCCAGGTCAATATGAGCCAATTTTCCTGTTTTATAAATCTCATCCAATTTAGCAGCCACTTTTTCATCTAGTCCATATTGGATAAGTTTATTAAAATCTTCTGTTCGTTCTACATTTTCCATTTCTTGTTTTTCTTCCATTGTTTTTATTTCCCCATTTCCTTCTGCCATAGCTGAAACAATTGTTATGTTAATCAAAAATTTTTATCTCTTTTCTCATTAATTAAATTCAAACTGTATGAATTATTTTCTACACACACACACACACACACACACACACACACACACACACACACACACACACACACACACACACACACGTGCGCGCGCGTAGTTTATAGGATCATCTCTTCGCTTCTAAAAAGCTAATAAACATCTCTAAATTTTTTGCATTCAGAAATCACTTGTGCGTTTAAATGTGTTTGTATTTACATATGCTGTGCATGTACATGTGTAGCGCGTGCACCATAAGTGTGTGCGTGCGTGCGTGCGTGCGTGCTTCGTGTGCTAAATGCTGTCTTCAAAATACAGAGTATCAAAGTTGAAAAAAAACCATATGAAAGTTTCGAGAATCTAGAAAACGTTTAGAGATATTTTATTGAAATGGTGTGCGTACATGTCGTATTAAAAACCAATTTCCAGTACTGATAAAACATTTTTAGATTCACTAAAGACGTGCGTATGAATAATCACATTAAGTTTCTTTAATAAAAGAATGCGCTAGTTTTATTTCTAAGTCCCTTAATAGATCTCTCTCTCTCTCTCCTCCCTTCTTTTCTCTCTCTCTCCTCCCCTCCTTACTCTCTCTCTCTCTCTTTCTCTCTTGCACATATACACACATCACGCATGAGCAATTTCTGATAAAAATCGCACTTTCCGAAAATGCATGATGATAAAGAATTGAAAGATATCAATACGTAAAAAAAGGAAAACCAAAACTCATTTGTTCTGATCGCATATGCGACAATATACTCGATAAGGCAACAATGCAAGTGTAGACAATGTGAAAGAAGACATAGTAAAAAAAAAAGATTAAATATATCGAACAAAGATATCTAAATATATCTAAAACAAATCAAAGAATCATTTCAAAATTAGATCACGCTGGCACACGGAAATTAAAAAAATTAATACTAAAAGTATAATATAAACAATGGAATGCAAGCATTACATTTTTATTTCATCCAATATAAGAAACGAAAAGAACGGAAACTAAGAGGAAAATGAATATGCGATGCATGGAACGTCGTGCGTTATCGATAGACTATGCCATTCAGCGTGCCGATTAGACAGCACATAATTGAGTATGATCGGTTAGCACGGATGGCAATAGCGTGGCGCGGTACGGCATGGGCCGCGGAGCAAAGCAAAATGGGGCAGAGGAGCAAATGGAGCAGAGCGGAGCAGAGCAAACGGCGCAATCGTCGTTATAGCAAATGATTCACGCGACAAAATCATCGCGATGCTTAGTCTTTATCCTCTCTAATAGTACTACCGTTGTCCCGTAATAAGATTTATGACCACACTTTTATCAGCTAGCTTGCCGGCCGGCGAAATACAACCGCGCTCCGCACGGCGGCGACGGTGACCGAAGTGATGTACGATGCACCTATATGCACTTCAGTCATATGCACTTCGTGACGTATATAACCCAATATATTTTCCACCTACACTCGCGAAATTGTCATGGTAAACAGCGTCTCTACCTTAATACGGAAAATGGACTATGTTGACAATGCAAATCGGATAGCGATCGTTACCTTACAAAATAAACGGACGGGCTCCTCCGCACGAGGAAATGGCGACAGACGTCAACGTGATTGGAGACTACGGGGTTCACAAAACGACGCGCAAAGATACACTCGAACCCAGCGACACGATGTTGGCCATTTTCTTGCCGTGACTGCACTCACGCGAATTCTGATTGGCGCCCGCAAAACAGCTCGACAGGAAAAAAAGTTGGCCGTCCCGCGTGTCGAACCGGAGTATGCGCCCGGAGCATGCCGAGAATTCTCGTCGTGTACGACACACACTCCTGCATGCAATGTGTGCGCGCGCGCACACGCACCACACACACACACACACACACACACACACACACACACACATACCACGCGCGCAACGAATGTCATATGGAACGGGATATTCGTGATGATTCGCGATATGCAATTAGTCTCTTGAATTCGAAACAATGGACGTATTCGATCTCGACGTAAATTTTTCATATTTACCACATGCAATAATATATCAACACGATCAATGTAACATAAAATGGAATATTTATGACCGTTCGCAAACTTGCAACAAAATAACCTCACGAATCAACTTCACGAGAACATAGTGAACGCGTTCAAACATATTTTGTCCGCTAGGACGACGAATTTCGCCACGCATTTGCCATCAATTTCGCGCCCGGGTGTTTTTATATGCGATTATGTTTACAAATGAACTCGCGCGAAATGCCTGAATATTCGCAAAAAAAAGCTTTTTATCACGTATTTCTCAAAAATGATATAATTCGTTCAAAAATTCCTATCCCACATTGCCTGTTTCTCAATTCCGTTACCGGCCGGCATAAATCTTCCAAGCGTATCATATAAGTTTCAGCCATAGAGAAGTCGGAATAGCTGCACGAAAATTTCACGCGGTGCATATTCACTGCTAATTCGCAATCGTCAAGTAATTGTTAAGCTTCAAATAATCTCGGATAAGACAAAACGCATTCACGCAATTTCAAACCATTCTAATTACATATTCTCCATTTTAAAACAAATTAAAATTCAAAAATTCGTCGAATAAA